CAACGTAGTACTGCCGGGAACAATATTTATCTATGTGTCAGTCTCCCGAGAATATCGTCCTTTATCACATATCTTATCTTATTTATAAAATATCTTTTTAGTTATCATACGAAAGAAATAATGTATCTTGAAATATATGAAATATAGAAGATTTTTTTATACAACATAAAAGATATCTTGAAAATAGATCATATAAAATATAGATTTCATAATGAATTTTATGTCTCACGTGAGAAATCATATAGGTTTTAAAATCACATAAAAGATCTTTGTATAATATATCTTATTTATATTCTTTATAAAGTATAAGCTAATGCAATTTAAAATAGTGCGTCTTTATAGTGTTTACTCGTGCTAAACGTGACGACAGAACCTTAAATATAAACCGCACTATGTTGACTGCCAATGTGTCCCATAGAAACGGTGTGATGTGATCACCGTACAATGTGTATAATAATTGGATGTTGTTAGTTCACGGTTAACTTAACTAGAGTTTTAGTGTAATACAGGTGTACGTTACACATCACTATTTCAATTTCTAATTATTTTCGTTCTACCCGTATAGTTCTGACATGAAATAATTCAAACCAAGACGGCAGAGCAGCACATCATCCCACAACACGTACACAGTCACCAGCGGGCGACACCGAACACAATCACCAGAATAATGTATACGGCCACCAACACAACACGCACACAGTCACCAGCGTGCAATACACTTAACTGACCCACAACACAATCACCAGAATATTGTATACGGCCACCATCACAACACGTACACAGTCCCCAGCGTGCAATACACTTAACTGACACAGAACACAATCACCAGAATATTGTATACGGCCACCAACACAACACGTAAACAGTCACCAGCGTGCAATACACTTAACTGACACAGGACACAATCACCAGAATAATGTATACGGCCACCAACGCAACACGTACACAGTCACCAGCGTGCAATACCCTTAACTGACACCGAACACAATCACCAGAATAGTGCATACGGCCACCATCACAACACGTACACAGTCACCAGCGCGCAATACACTTAACTGACACATGACACAATCACCAGTCAAACCAAGACGGCAGAGCAGCACATCATCCCACAACACGTACACAGTCACCAGCGTGCAATACACTTAACTGACCCACAACACAATCACCAGAATATTGTATACGGCCACCAACACACCACGTCCACAGTCACCAGCGTGCAATACACTTAACTGACCCACAACACAATCACCAGAATATTGTATACGGCCACCAACACAACACGTAAACAGTCACCAGCGTGCAATACACTTAACTGACCCACAACACAATCACCAGAATATTGTATACGGCCACCAACACACCACGTCCACAGTCACCAGCGTGCAATACACTTAACTGACCCAGAACACAATCACCAGAATATTGTATACGGCCACCAACACAACACGTAAACAGTCACCAGCGTGCAATACACTTAACTGACACAGAACACAATCACCAGAATAATGTATACGCCCACCAACACAACACGTACACAGTCACCAGCGGGCAATACACTTAACTGACACCGAACACAATCACCAGAATAATGCATACGGCCACCATCACAACACGTACACAGTCACCAGCGTGCAATACACTTAACTGACACCGAACACAATCACCAGAATAATGTATACGGCCACCAACGCAACACGTACACAGTCACCAGCATGCAATACACTTAACTGACCCAGAACACAATCGTCAGAATAATGTATACGGCCACCAACACAACGTACACAGTCACCAGCGTGCAATACACTTAACTGACACAGAACACAATCATCAGAATAATATATACGGCCACCAACACAACACGTACACAGTCACCAGCGTGCAATACACTTAACTGACACCGAACACAATCACCAGAATAATGTATACGGCCACCAACACAACACGTACACAGTCACCAGCGTGCAATACACTTAACTGACACATGACACAATCACCAGAATAATGTATACGGCCACCAACACAACAACGTATTCTGAAAATAGTTTTAAAAACATTTGTTCACACACTAACCTATATACATTGTATATGAAATGTTAACTTTCTATGTGGTGTTTTGTTTGTTCCAGATACATGCCCGGTTAAAAAGTAGTGCCTCTTCTAAATGCCGAGGCTTTGATTGAAGCTACGGAGACCATCAGAAAGTAAATAGCCGCTTAAAAATGGCGTTGGGAAGGAAATCTTCACGATTGTGTGAAAACATATTTGCGGGAATTGTAATTTTCGCTTGCGGATTGTCCATAATAATATCCATGAAATTCCAAGCATTTTCAGGGATTGGTAGACTAACGCAAAGGAAGACTTCACGAGAACTGCAAAAAAACCGGAACACTTTCTTAACAGCTTTCAAGGACGATGGAAAACATGACATTAGTGGTAATGAGCACCAGTATGTATCTAACGACCATGGGGATGATACGTCACAAAGTGGGACCGATATAAAGAGCTGGTTCCACAGAAAACCGGTACATAAATACATGCCTTCAAAATTCCATCCGATCTTACTGCGACCAGAACTGATGTCGAATTCTGCGTGTAAGGATAATACCGTGGATATTTTAATTTACTCGTTGAGTTATTGGAGCAATTTTAACCAACGCGCCGCTATAAGAGAGTCATGGGCAGCAACAGATACGTTTACCGATATAAAAATAAAAACAGTATTCTTCCTTGGGCGTCCATCTTCTACTACTGACCTAACAAAAATCGAATCTGAAAATCAGAAGTATAGTGATATCGTTTTAGGAGATTTCCTGGATGGACACGCTAATATTTCTATGAAGAGCCTACTCGCCCTGCAGTGGATCAATAGTAATTGTCTGCATGCTAAATACATCCTTAAGGCTGACGATGATATGTTTGTTAATATTTTCTACGTTATAGAATTCGGGGTGTCTGAAATATTCACGTTAAACAAGGTCATCATGTGTCAGGTGCGTCCAAACAACACTAATGAAATTATAAGAAACAGGAACAGCAAATGGTATGTTCCTGATCACATACTGCCTGGACGATTGACTTTCCCGACCATGTGTTTTGCAAATATGATACTATTTACTGCAGACCTGGTACCAGATATGTACAGAGCCTCGTTTTCAGTTCCCTACTGTACAGTTGACGACGCGTACATATTTGGTATGCTTATTGAGCCCGTGAAAAATGCCGACTTCCGGTCCATTGGTGAAACAATCTCCATGAACCAGAACGAAGCTTACCAGGATTTAATGCACCAAAGTCATCCTAGGTATATCGCTAGTACTGTTAAACAAATAGAGTATTTTAGGAAATTTTGGAATGCCGCCTTGACACGAGTACCTACATGGGCAAAGGGTCGTTTGAGTAGTAATATCAAAACGTAATGCTGAAGGGAGAGCTTTCTCTACAGTTCTGCCTCTGGAATAGTTAACACCATGGAATAAAGATAGCGCGCATGATAACATTGGTCGGAATGAGGGCGAGAACACTTTTACGGCAGCGCCAGGATGTAAAAGTATATAACCCAGCACCAGGATGTGAAAGTATCTAACACAGCACCAGGATGTGAACATATCTAACACAGCACGAGGATGAGCACGCATGTAGTGAATTACGAGGGCGAGACAGAAATAAAGGGAGAAAATGTTAAAACAAATAGCTAAGCTTGTGTTCCGATCTCTTCACAATTATACGTGTGTTTCAACTTCATTGAACTATTGAATACTGCATGTATTTTATATTAAAGAATTAACGCATTCAAAGCAGTATAAATGTTGATAAGGTTAAGGATGCTTGATCGGGTTTTTTACAAACGAACTTAATGTAAGAACAAAGGATAAACAATAAGAAGACAATATACTTACTTCTACCATGGACTACCGTTCTTCTACTAGTGAGAAACGTCCACCTTCCTTACTCGTACGTGAGCTGGGGCTGTACTTCCGGCAGTAACACGTAGTTACCTCCCTTTCTAAGGCAGCGCAACACGAATGAATTGAAAAGTCATGCAAGAGTTAAAGAATGAATGAGTGAGTGAGTGAAATTATATTAAAGTTTGTTGAAATTGACGTTTTATGTTTTACATTCAAATTCTTACAGCGGTATATTCTGTCAGGATACTTATGTTTTTTCATCCGATCCAAGCCATGCATCTAGCGCTATATTGGACTTTTGATAACGAGGAGCTGGAGTGATGGTGAGCGAGGGGAGGATAACATGATAGCGAGGAACTTGGGTGATGGTGAGCGAGAGGAAGATAACATGATAGCGAGGAGCTGGAGTGATGGTGAGCGAGGGGAGGATAACCTGATAGCGAGGAGCTGGAGTGATGGTGAGCGAGGGGAGGATAATATGATAGCGAGGAGCTGGAGTGATGGTGAGCGAGATGAGGATAACATGATAGCGAGGAGCTGGAGTGATGGTGAGCGAGGGGAGGATAGCATTATAGCGAGGAGCTGGAGGGATGGGGAGCGAGGGGAGGATAACATGCTAGCGAGGAGCTGGAGTGAGGGCGAGCGAGGGGAGGATAACATGGTAGCGAGGAACTTGGGTGATGGTGAGCGAGGGAAGGATAATATGATAGCGAGCAGCTGGAGTGCTGGTGAGCGAGGGGAGGGTAGCATGATAGCGAGGAGCTGGAGTGATGGTGAGCGAGGGGAGGATAACAAACTTAAGTAGTCCTGATAAATAATCTAATACAAATAGTCATGAATAATATAAAAAAAAGGTGATAATAACATGTAAATTATAAATCGATAGTTTATGAAAGAGAGTGAGGTGTATGGAAGTCCTCATACTAATTGCTAATTTGTAGCTTGTTGGTGAATATAAACATGTAAAAAAGAAACTTTTTTATTATTATGTCTCCCAAACGGAGTTTGGGGACATAGTGTGTTTGTTCCGTTTCTTCTTCTTATTATAATTATTACAAGCCAACCGAAACATAATGTATATAATATTCTCCATGTCTGCAACAGCAAACAGCAAACAAACGAATACACGGATTTAATTATGAAAATATATGCATATATAGACAATAGGCAGACAGGTTTAGGTTGTCCTTTGTCAATAGTGTTACATTCTCATCAAATATATATATAATCGCATTGAAATTGAAAAGAATTGTCAGGAAAGGAGCATTTTAATAACAACACCTCTTTTTAAGGACTTAAGTATGGACAGGTATGGTTATAGAGTTGCAATTTTAACTCTAGTTTCTTTTTCATGATGCTGGACTTAATCCCAAGGGTCAGGGGCTGAACCTTGAGAACATTGTATAGCGTTGGCATCTCTACTGTTTACATGGTATACATATCTAATTGGTCAGCAGGACCACAATCAATCATAGTTTCACTAGTGCAGTAAATTTCTTTCCGTGTCCAACAAACAAAGATTAAGGATCTCAATCAGTATTTGAAATTGAGGTCAACGGTCAAAAGTCAAATTGACCTTGTAACAACAGCTGAGATATGCTTCACTAAAACCATTATTTCAGTACTTGAGATCAAGGTCATCCAAAGTTCAATTGCGGTCACAGTGACCTCATTTTAGGATGGACATGCCAACATCCTATGATATTCCCATATCAAGGATATATAAAGGTTTGAAGGCAGTTCATCGAACAGTCGACGAGAAACCATTATTTCAGTACTCGAGTTCAAGGTCAAAGGTGAAATTGAGGTCACAGTGACCTTATATTTGGGATGCCACACACCACCTGATTATGTACCTATACACAAAGTTTGATGCCCATTAATGAAACAGTGGCTACGATAATGAGAAATGCTCTAAAACTCATTATTTTAGTACGGGATGTGGAAGTCAAATTGAGGCAAGATTGACCTTGTTTTAGGATGCGGTACACCGCCTTACCATGATTTACCTATATAAAATGCTTGATGCCCATTTATGAAAAAGCAGTTAACATATGGTCTGGATACCATTGTTTCAGTAATCAAGTTCAAGGATATATGTCAAATTGAGGTCACAGTGACCTTGTTTTAGGTTGTGAGGTACCAGATTCACATGAACTTTATATAAAAAAAAAAAGTTTGATGCCATTTTATGTAAAAGCAGCTGAGATATTGTAAAGCAGAACAATTAGGCCGAGTTTTGATTTTTTGCGATTAGACCCGCCCACATCAATCTACAAAATTAAAAATCTAAAGTCTCATTCCACTGTGATACATTTTTCATAAAAGGTACATGTACTGTTTTAGTACATGGTCAAACACAGAGAAGTTATTGTTTATCTTGGCCAGACAACAAAGGGTCATTATCTACATGAAAGGAATGCAGGCGACATAAAGTCGCAAAAAGTTGAAGTTGTAGAATGCAAAAAAGAAAATAAACAATTTAAATTAAAGGCCCTGAATTTCCCGCTTCGTTCCTTGAAATATGTAGGTTACAATTTGTCCTGTCATGATGTATATGCCTATAAGGGTTTGCTGTCCCAAACTTGTCTGGACAAAGGGCCATAACACTGCAAATAAAGGACTGAAGGCCCAAAATGTAGTATGTGCCACACTCTCTCATACCAAGATGTGTACTAGTACATTGTATGTTTATCCAGTTCTGTAGTGCAAAGTGAAAACTTGTAGACATGGCGTTGACAAAGAAGATGAACAAAGAGCTTTACCTCTGCAAGCATGGGGCTTAGTAGTATGTGCCAAACCATGATGCAAGCATGCCCTAAATAAAACATTATAGAAGTCATGGCTTGGACAAAAAGTTAAGTCACAAAATGTATAACTCTGCAAGTAAAAAGATTTTGGGTCAGGATTATAAATGTAGCATGCTCACTATTCCGTACTAAGTTTGTGGTACAAGGCTTAAGTCAAAGGTTGTAAGTCTTATGGTCTATCAAAGAAAATAAACAAAGCGCAAGTACTCCGTCTTGCAAAGGATGAGTGTCTATAAGGCCATTTTTTGGGTCCCGGTATATTTGGATTTTCACCTCCTTAATTTGTTCAAAGATGTACGATTGTATTACATGTGCAAAAACTAAGGTAAAAGTTTGACCGAAAGTGGCTTTTTGGGAATGCCAAAGGGGTAGGGTAAACCACAAATATAATTTGCTGTTTTTAAATGAGCTTAAAATCCAAAATCGTACTATTTCTGTTTTTAAAAACAAGTGGAAATTAAACAGGCATATTTAAAAGAATAAAAAAAAAATACAGAAATTAAATCGTCAATTAAAAATTCCTTATATAAAATGGATGATTAAGTCAGAGGGTTGTTTTTTTAGATAATTTTTAATATTTAATTTAGTTTACTATATGAAGTTTGATTTACTGAAGTATCCTAAGCCTCAAGGAAAGCAACTGTTTTAATCGTTACCGTCAACTCATTTCATTGTGTTTTATCATTTGTTCTGCCTATTTCAAATAATACTTTCCTTCAGGCTAGGATACTTAAAATTATCAGCAAATCAAACTTCATATATTAAATTATTCATTTTACAGTATTTGTGGTAGCAAATGCCATTTTTTATTTGCAAGTTAACTTTGATAAGGAAGAAAAACAAATCAGGATCTTGAACTCAATTCAGCCACAGGTGTTGTGCAAATATTATATGATATATATAATATACAATATTAACTATTCATACCTTATACTTATACTGAGTATGCTATTTTTTCTTCTCTACGGCAGGAGTTCAAATCACTTCAAACATCTAAATACTACGATTATATCACAAATGTTGAAACAATCCCAAACGTTTTTGGGGATTTGTGAAAGGAAAGCGGAAGGAGGGGACTGTCCCGGACTCTGTTTCAGACTGTTCATCGTCGTATTCCAACAATGTTGAATCTGCAGATAAGTTTAATGCTTTCACCAAAAGTGTGTTCTGTATGGACGACGATTGTGATCTTCCTCAAATTTACATGTAAAAAATAAACGTGATTGCCCTCTAAGCACAATTGTTTTGAATTGTACTGATGTTCAGAAGGCACTTACACAAATAGATGTAAAACAAGCTTGTGGCTACGACAACCTATCTGGCGTAGTTTTTAATGAGTGTGCTGATGAGTTATGTGTACCACTGTGTAACATTTCCAACCGTTCGTTGAACGATGGTATCTTTCCAAGTATTTGTAAAAGGGCTAGTGTTATTCCCATTTTTAAATCTGGTCTCTAATTACAGACCAGTATCTTTACTACCAATTATATCTAAAGTTTTCGAAAAACTGGTTGACGTATATACTGATTTTTCAAAGGTATTTGACAAAGTAAACCACAGATTATTATTGCATAAGTTAAAATTGTATGGTGTAGAAGGTAGCATTTTAGATTGGTTTACTACTTATTTGAAAGATAGCCGGTTGGTGTGATGTAACTTCCGGTGTGTCTCAAGGTTCGGTACTTGGACTTAAACTTTTCCTTGTTTTTATCAATGAACTGCCATCTATTGTGAAATTTTCTAAAACTCTTATGTTTGCCGACGACAGCAATTCTTATAAGTGTGAAAGTAGATAGAGTGTATGATTGGTGCAATGTGTGGAAAATTAAAGTGAATGTGAAGAAGTGCTGCCAGGTCAATTTCACAAACAAGAAGTACTGTATTAATTTTAGTTACACTATGAACGATGAGAACATGAAGAATGAAATGTGTGTGAAAGATATTGGTGTTTGGCTGACCTCTTCAATGAGTTTTAATACCCACATTAGACGTACTGTTTCCAAATCAATGCGAATGCTCGGTTTTATAAAACGTATATGTACAAGTTTTACACAAATACCTGTTTTAAGGTCTCTATATATAAGTCTTGTCAGGGGTCAGTTAGAATACTGTTGTCAGATCCGGTCTCCTTACCAAACATATTTAGTTCACCAGGTCGAAGTTGTCCAGCGTAATTTTTTGTAATTTTTATGTTTTAAGGCACACGTCGACTACAATTCCATGTCTTACACCGACACTTGTAGGCATTTTAATTTTCCTAGCCTCGAACATAGGCGGGCATTTTTACAAATGTGTTAATAGTGCTTTTGATTGTCCATATTTAGTCAAGCAAATGTGTTTTTAGTCCCTGGTCGTAATCTACGATCAATTCGTTTTAACCAGTTTTACTGCCAGAGAAGTAGAATAAACGTTAGAAAGTATAGTATTTCAAACAGGATTCAATGACATTTTTAACTATCTTGATTTTGCACCAGACTGTGATATGTTTTTGTAAGGTTAGAGAATATTTGCTATCACTAATTCCTTTTGTTTTACATATGAGTAACTTTTAGTCTGTGTTACATGCATAACTGACTGTGATATTTTATACTTGTGTTGTAATGTTGTTATCCATTCTGTAAGTGGACCCTTGGGTCTGTTGAATTGGAAATAAATAAATAAAGTTGGAAATAAC